GATGTGACATATGATAAAGCTATTTAAGAGTAAGTGATGGATGTAAGTAATGAATAAGTTAGAGATAGATGGAGTAGATATATTGGTGCAATGGGTATTGATGCTGTAAAGAAATAAGCAAATGCAAAGGTCTTACTTTGTGGAGTTGGATCATTAGGTGTTGAAATTGCTAAAAATGTTGTACTTTCTGGAGTTGGAGTTTTTGCTATCTATGATAACAAAGTAGTAAATTAGGATGACTTGGTAGGATAGTTCTTCCTATCTTAATCCGATATTGGTAAAACAAGAGCTATTGCATGTGTTGATAAAATACAGCAATTGAATAATTATGTACGAGTAAAAGTGATAGAAAAGGATGTTCAATAGTATATAACCACAGAGCAATTTGATATAGCAATATTGACAGATGTGTATGATTATAATGAACTAATTTGTTGGGATAATCTTTGCAGAACCCATTCGATTAAACTTATCATTACTAATGCTAATTCAGTTTATGGAAGAATAATTAATGACTTTGGGGCTGAATTCAAAGTTATTGATAAAAACGGAGAAGACATTCCTGATGTATTGATTAAATCTATTTCAGCTGATGGAATAGTTGAATTATTGGATGGTCAAAGATCCTAATTTGCAGATGGAGATTCAATTATTTTCTTGCAAGTTCAAGGTATGAAATAAGGAGAACAATCAATCAACAATTAACTTCTTAAAATACAAACTATTTCTACTAAGAAGTTTAAGATTCTAGATGATATCTCTTAATATTCTCCTTATATATCAAGTGGAATTGCTAGACATGTTAAATAAACTATAACATTTACTAATAAATCTTTGGATATTGTAATAAACAGTGATGACTGTTTAGATCCAAATTTGAAAGAGAGTGATAGCATTAAACTAGTTGAATAAAGCTTATTACATTTAGCATATAGAACATTATCATACACCAATGGAGATATTAACAATTTACTTGACTTAATTATTAAATTTGATAAAGGAAATTTCATTCAATAAAATTAAAAATAAGCTAAGTATTTAGAATATTATCTCAAAATGTTTTAAAAGACTTTTGCATTACCAGCATTCCCTCCTTTAGCTGCTTATTTAGGAGGATTTGTGTCATAAGAAATAATCAAAGCTTTAACAAATAAATTTACTCCAATTAATCAAGCTTATTATTTTGATTGCATTGAAGTGTTACCATTTTAAATTTGGGATGAAAAAGGAGATTAATAGGTTTAGATCTAAAATCTAGATTAATTTTAACTTACTGGAAAAGATGCATTAACTAAATTAATGGGTGAAGATCTTTACTAGAAAATTAAAAGTTCTAATTTATTCATGGTTGGATGTGGTGCTATAGGTTGTGAATTATTAAAGAATTTTGCCATGATTAATTTAAGTATTGAAGGATAAATTACTATTACAGATCCAGATCATATTGAAACTTCTAATCTCAATAGATAATTCTTATTTAGAGAAAAACATATTCACAAACCTAAATCATAAACTGCAGCTGCAGCAGTAATTCAAATGAATCCTCTTCTCAAAGGTAAATTAGTTGCAAGAATGGACAAGGTTCATGAACAAACAGAGAATATTTTTAATGATCAATACTTTGAGTAATTATCACTTGTTGCTAATGCTCTTGATAATGTTTAAGCAAGAAGATATGTAGATCGTAGATGTGTTAAAGCTAAAATTCCCTTATTAGAATCAGGTACTTTGGGACCAAAAGGTCATGTGCAATGTATCATACCATTCTAAACAGAATCATACAATAGTATGTAAGATCCAGTAGAGGAAGGAGAGATTCCTTATTGTACTTTAAAAATGTTCCCTGAAGAAACATTCCATTGTATAGAATTTGCTAGAGATAAATTTAATAAGTTATTTTCCTTAAAACCAAAATTAGCATAGAACATCATAGATAATTAATAATTTAATCCATCAAATCCAGATGAAATTAAATAATTAAAATCCACTATTAAATTATTATAATAAACTCCAACTAAATTAGAAGATTGTATTTAATGGGCAAAAAACAAATTCTAAAAATACTTTATTAATGACATTAAATAATTACTCTACACATATCCAATTGATGCCAAAACTAAAGATGGTTAACCATTTTGGAAATTACCTAAAAGACCTCCAAAATTCTTAAATTATGATATTGAAAATGTCATCATTGTTTAATTTATCTCCACTATGGCTTTCCTAAGAGCTAAATAATACAATCTACCCACACCACCTGACTGGAGATAAGAGAAGAATAGACTTGATGTTGCTATTTTAGGTGAGAAGATGACAAGTAAGGAATGGGTACCCAATGATTCCAAGAAAAAGGAAATTGAAGAATAAGTTTTGAAATTGGAGAACAAATCATAGAAATAATAAGAAGAAGAATAAGAGACTAGTATTATTGATGACACCAACAAATTATTAGCATAACTCTAAGATTTAAGATCAGCTGGGTATTAAAATATTATATTATTTTTAGTATTAAATTGTAATCATAAGAATTTGAGAAGGATTGTGATATGAATGGACATATTGATTTTATTCATTCTCTTGGAAACTTAAGAGCTTTAAATTATGGTCTTGATGAAATGGATTGGATTACTGTTAAATTAAAGGCTGGAAGAATAGTACCTGCTTTAGCCACTACTACTGCAGTTGTATCAGGATTATAGACAATAGAATTAGTCAAAGTTTTAAAGAAATGCAAACTTGAAAACATGAAAAATGGATTTATTAATTTAGCTGTTCCTATAGTATAGTTGACTGAACCTATGAAAGCAGAATCTATCAAACTTAATGAGGATGTGAATGTCACTTTATGGGATAGATGGGATGTCAAATTAGGAAAAGAAATTACCTTACAAAGTTTATTCGAGCATTTAAAACAAACTTATCATTTAGAACCAATTAATGTTTTCAAGCAATCTTCTGTCATTTATATGCATGACCTTCATAAAGGTTAAGCTGTATTTACATAACCAATTATTGATTTGCTGGATGTAAAGGTATACATTTATAATATATTTAGAATGATTACGTTGATTTAGTAATTAATTTTGTTAAAGATGAGCATATCTTAAAGAATGTCCCTGAGGTTAGAGTTTACTTTAACGAATGATGTCTATTATATGTATAAATTATTAAAATAAATCTATATTTTTTTAGCTTATATAATTTGTTACTATCTTTTGATTAAGATAAAAATATATAATTAAAATTTAATGGGAAATTGCTGTGGATAATCCTCAATTATGGAGTGTCATTCTCAATAAATAGTTACAAAAGATCTATTAGATGAAGAATAAATGAATAAGGCTGCACTAACAATTTAATGTAATAAAACTTTATTATAGCTTAAGCTTTTGTTCGAGGACATTTGATTAGAAAAAAACATAAAAATCATAAAAGTAATAGTGTTGCCATTACAGCTACAAATGAATACAGTCATTCAAACAAATAGAGCAGATAAGAAATATAATTGGGTGATTTAAATAGGTTTAACTCTATCTCAAAAGAGAGTAACATACCTTAAAATCTAAAAACAATCGAAAAGGTACCAGAAAAACTTGAAGATTTAACAAAATCAGTATATTTATTCTTTAAATTTGATTCCTTTTTTTAGATGAGGAAAAGCCTACCTGAATTCATTTATGAGGATAATTAATAAGAACCAGACTTGATAACAAGAGGACCTGTGCAAGATGAACTTGATCATATATATATAGGTTAATGGAAGGATAAGTATAACCCTTGGCTATTTTAGTGCAAAATGGGGTAAAGGAATCTAATATTGGTCTGATGGTTCTTATTATGAAGGATATTGGAGGGATAATAAATAAAATGGAAAGGGAAGACTTATCCATGTGGAAGGAGATGTTTATGAAGGTGATTGGTAAGATGACAAAGCACATGGTTATGTAAATAAATTATCCAATATATAATAGGGTAAATTGACAACTTCAAATGGAGGATATTATGTTGGAGAATGGATTAATGATAAATAAAATGGTTAAGGTAAAGAGATGTGGCCAGATGGAGCAAGTTTTGAGGGACATTATGTTGACGGCATCAAATTTGGTTAAGGGGTATACACTGTTGCAAATGGTTCTCAATATGTGGGAGAGTTTGCAGATAATTGTTTTTGTGGTTTTGGAACTTATAAATGTTCAGATGGAACTAAATATGTAGGATATTGGAAATAAAATAAAATGAATGGATAAGGAGTAATATATTTTAAAACTACTTTAAGGAATTTTATTGGAAGGATGGTTCTAAGTATGTTGGAGAATTCCTTAATGATTTAAGAGATGGATTTGGTACTTTTTATTATGGTGACGGAAGAGTAAGTATTAAAAATACAATTTTAGATTTATAAAGGATAATGGAAAAATGGAAAAAGACATGGTAATGGAACATATGTAGGGAGAAAAAAAGTGGAAAAATAAGGCAAATGGTAAAATGGAATCTTTGTAGTTTGGGAAAAATAATTTACAAACTCTTCTGTTGGTGACGATGCTCTATTTCATTGAATTAATTTCTATAAACTTTATTATTTTATACAATTTTCTAGTCCAAATAATCTTATTTAAAATTATATAATATTAGTATTAATTATTGTTATATTCATTTTTATCTATTTTTATCAAAGTAGATTTACGTTATAATTAGAAATATTAAATGTAAATAAAGTTAAAAATTATGAATTATTACTTTTTAAAACAATTAAAACTTGATTTTTATTTATTTTATTAAATAAAATTTGAATAACCTAAATAAAACAAGGTAGAAAAATAAAAAATTTGAATATTTTTTTTACAACTAGGAATATATATCTTAAATTTAAAACATTAAACAAATGTAATTTTGATTAATTTTTATTAAATTATAAATTAGTTTATATTACTTGATTAAGATAAATTATTAAATATAAAGAAAAGTTTATTTATTAGGCCATAAATTTATTAATATTAATTTCATACAAGCTTTTTGTAATTATTAAAGGCATACGCTATAAGCAAATTTTTTACTTATTTAAAATTTTCGTCTTATTTGAATTATTTATTTAAATAAGCTTATCTCAAGATTTCATTTTCTAAATCTAATGTTCCTGTTTAATTTTAGTTGTATATATCTTCAAATATAATGAGACTCTATGTAAACCTTTAAGAAGAGTTGACTGCTACTTTTTGATTCTCAATATTTTAATCAAATTTAATTATTTACCTTGAAACAACTGCTATATTTTACAAGCATTTTAACATATCTCTATCATTAGTATTGGAATTAAGACAGATGTTTATCATTTTATTATTGAAGAAATAATTTAGACTTTATGGATGTTGATAAGTTAAAATTGTTTCCCATTCTAATTTATATAAAAAAGATAAAATATCTGTATCTGTTTCAGTCTGTAAATATTATTAAATTATCATAAAAATCTGATTTGAATATTATTATTTAAGAAATATTATATAAAGTAATCTTTAAACTCTCTACATTAATAATAATCTACTTTTTGATTATTATACTTATTTAATAATTATTAAAATATTCGTTAAGGTATTTTAATACTCCTAGCATTAATCAAGTTTAATTTCACAATACATCTATTAAAATAATGTTTATAACAATTCAAGATTATTATTCTTATCTACTTATTGCATAGCTTTATGGATCATAGATAAAGACTTTTGGTATTATTATTTCTTTTGGCACGAAATTGAATAATAATAATAAATATCCCACATTCCACCTAGGTTATTTTATTGAAAATATTAGATGGCTTATTCAAACAAGTCCTCTACTTAAATCTTATCTTGAATTTTTATAGTGAAACTGATAGTCTGTATTAATATCAATAATAGTTATCTAATTCCATATTTATCTGATCCTCTTTACTCTAATTGCTAAATGATTTCTTTATGATCATTAGTATTAATACCAAAGTATAAAAGAATTTTTCTATAATAAAATTCTAAAGATTCTGGAAAATTAGTATTAATTTCAACATCGCCAGGTGTATGATTGAACTGGAAAAAAATCCAAGAAAAATTATTATTGATTTTTGTAGTAAGCATGCTTTGTTAAAATAACATTTAAACTTTAAAGTAGTATTTTTAAATTTCAACTGCTGTTTCAAGCCAACTTTTTTCTAAATAGATTCTATACATTTCTAATCTCACATATTATATGTCATCTAACAAATACTATTGATTAGTTAACTCTTCTAAAATTTATAGAGCAGTTTCAAATTGATCTGATTAGATTAAACATTCAATTTCTTGTAATTTATAATTTACTGAAGATTCTTCAGAATATTTTTGCATTTCTAAACAAACATTATATTATTTTTGAATATTACTTAATCGAAGATAGTAGATCATTATCAAATTATATTACCATTTTTTAGTGCTTGAATTAATCTCTAATAAAGAGTTATCATCTACTTATTTAAAATCAATCAATAGTAAATCACGATATTTCTATAAAATTTGATTAACTTCTTAATTATTCTAGATATTCAATTTGAATTCATCATTATGTTCATTTTAAGAACTCAAACGATAAGAATACCAAATATCAGTAGAAGAAAAATGGAATAATTTTAGTTTTTTGATAACTAATTCAATAATATACTCTGAACTCTAATTTTTTTCTTCAAGTATTTGATTGACATGTTTATTTTTTTCTTTTTCAAACTATTTTTAAATTGGAACTTTATTCATTCCACGTAGTATGTTTAATTTAATATAATTGTAACTCTTGCCATGTATTTTAAATTCTATAGGCATTTATTATAAAAGGCAATCATTATCCAGCATCTATTATAACTGAACAATTGATGATCCTTTTTTGTATACCTTTAACATTGACAATAAAAAGGAATATATATCGTTATCAAAAAGATTCTGTTCACACTCTATTTATTAAAAATTATATTTTAATAAATTTCTTAAATTAGGTGGTAAGTACTATCTAGTACCTTATATTGAATACTTTCCTTATTAATTTTCATAAAATTATGCACATCCAAAATCACTAACCAACCAACCCTTTTAATGAGTATACATAATATTTGATAATTTAATATCTCTATGAGCTATTCTTAAAGAATGCATTTCCAATATTTATTATAAGATTGAATGATATATACTTATAAATTCATCATATTAAATATCAACCTTAGAAATATATTCATCTAAAGTTGTATATGCAATTTCCATCCCAGCATAAGTAGTAAAATAGTTTATGGATTCTTATATAACATATACTCTATCAGGTAGTAATAAAGTGCTATTAGGAAATCTTTTATTTAATAAGGTCTAAATCTTGTATTCATTCACTTATTGTAAAATCTCTTCAGCTTAACATCTTTAATGTACTTTTACAGCACATAAATAATTTGATATTAAATGCCAACAGATGAAAACAGTTCCAAAACTTCCAGACCCTAAAATTGGTTGATTCTCATTTAAATATCCTTTGTTCATTATTTATGATATATCATAAGGAACTTCTTTAGCTAATATAAAAGTTTCCTCATTTTCAAAAATTAATTTTAAAGCAATTCTTTGTTCAAAAGAGTAAAACCTCTCATTGTTATTTGCTAAATCAAAATAACCATATGTTTCATCTGACTCACTAGATCTAGTTGTTCTGTTCTCTTAGCTCATTAAATAAATTATTTTTAATTATTTAATTAATCTGATTAAAAGATTATTTAAATTTATATATGATTATTCAAAAAGATTCTAATTTATGCAATATATCTTGATATTTTAGAATCTATAAAAATGAATATCCAGCTATCTTTTTACAATAATTTTAAAATATAAATTATTGATATTCTAAATTTGAAGTAATTATATTAATGAGAGTCTAAAAAAGAAATAAAATTTTATGCAGATATCAATATTAAAAAATGAATAATATTCTATATTAATTTAAATAAATACCATATGTCTTATGATTCTAAAAATGATTAATCTTTCGTTCTAAATATTTTAATTACTATTTTTTAGATATAAATAAATAGTTTTAAAAGTTTTAGGTTTAAAATATTTATTATACCATTATAATAAATAAAATACAACATAGATTTATGAAGAAATTTAACTTTATTTATTAAATTCCTTTTTTAACTTTTTTGAATTCTTGATAATATAAATGATTTTATATTATTTTTTCATCTCTCCTTTTAACCTATTCTAATTTATTTTTATTGAGAATATTCTAATGCTTTCTAGTTATTCTATGAAATAATAACATTCTAATATAGTATAGTATCCCTATCATATTTTTACATTAGATATAAAAATAAAATTTATTTAGATATAACTTATACATAACCCATACTGATATATATCCAACTAAAATAATATTGAGAAAAATAAACTTAATAAGTATATCTATGATTGTTTCTATTTATTAATATTATTGCATTAAAAGAAATAAGAGAGTTATTAAAATCAGTGATTATAAATCTACTTGATATTGATAAAATTATTTCTAATATATAGAATTATGCAGAAGTTGAAAAAGAAAATAATGAATATCTAATTAATAGATTAATTCTTGAATAACTAATCATTTCTTGGCTTATTTCTTACTTCCCTTCTTAGGAGCCTTCTTTGTAGCTTTTTTAGTAGCTTTCTTTGCTTTTGTTGCTTGCTTTCCTTATTTTTTAGGAGTGGATGCAGCAACTGGTGTTGCGGTAGTTGGTGCTGGTGCTGTTGTTGTTGTCACTGGGGCTGGTGCTGGAGTTGCATCAGTGGTCTTTTTTGTTACTTTTTTAACATTCTTTGTAGCTTCTACAATAAATTAAATATTTGACTTGGTGTTCCAGCCTTCTTAGCTCCCTTGTTTCCTTTTGTTGCTCCTTTTGCCATCTTAATTATATTATCTTATTTTTATTATTATTTTTTTTTCTTATAAGCTTTAAATTCGAAATATTAAAATTTCGTTAATTTCATTGGTTTATTTGTGATTTTTTTGGATAATGATATTGCTTACCTTTAATTATCAAATAGCCAATTCTGCACATCTATTTCTGATAGTTTAATTTAAACATCAATTAATTTCAAAATTTCCCCTACTAGAGCACCTCAAAATGTAAATTATTTTTCTTGATATGCTCTTTTAAAGCATGAAATCATTATGAAACACTCTAGCCAATAGTAATCTTATGTTAAACAATTAAAAATGTTTCAATCCATACTTATAAAATAAAGTTTGAAGTGGAATTTTTAAAAAGTTGTTTTTACAAAAAAAGTAATAATAATTTTATTTTATTAATATTTAATGAATATAATTTAATTATTTAATAAATTATTATCAACTTATTTTCATATTCCCTATCATAATTTAGAATATTTTCATAGCCTTAGTTAACACAAATCTTCTGCAACAAATAACAACATAAATAAAATCTTCAACGTAATCTATATCAATTAAAACGGCTGTTTTTTTCAAAATTTCTAATATAAGAATTTCTTATCATTTCGATGTTTTTTTCTCTTATTGTTCTTTCGATACGTATATTGATTTCTAGTTACTCCTATTCAAATTTAAATTTCTTTGTATCCCTTTTTGTTTAAATAGATAAAATTTAATTTAAATAAATAAGTAAATAAATATCTCATAAGTAACACAAATTGTATTCTCTTATTCATTTAAAGTGGAATATTCATTTATTTATATAATTCAAAATTAAGTTCTGCTATATGATATTTTTAAATATATTAATGTATATTTATCTTCAATATTTAAGACCATATCCTAAATTCCTTTCAATTTAAATTTATATTTCCATAAAGATTTTAATTTATTTTTATTAATTAATCAATAATCACTAAAATTTATTGAGATCATTTTATGTTTAATAATTTAGAACATAAGCATCATTTTATAATCAAATGTCTATTAAAACTCCCCCTTATTTTTCTTAATCTAATTCAAGTTGATTAATAATAGAATATTTACAGAAGCCTATTATTAGATTGATTTTCTTTCTATTAATTAAGTTAAAATTTTTATAATTGAATTTATAGAATTAGATTTTCTTCATATTATACTAAATGATAGGATATTTCAATATTTTAATAATAATTTTTATAGTAAATTGAAATTAAATGACATAAGATTATACTCCTTTTTTATTCATAATTAATTCCTTTATTAATTATAGACATTAGATAAGGTTAATTAATATAAAGAAAAGTATAATTATACGAATTCTATAGAATTAATTTCTTTTTGTTTCTATCAATCAATATTATTGTTTTTTTATTTGAATATTTATTGAATAGGAATAAAACTTGAATAGAATTATTTTCTATCTTAATTCATAATTTATTATAAAATATTCCTAAGATTTTGTTAATAATTGAATAACAAGTATGATATTAGTTAGAAACATAATTTATGAAATATAATATTAATTTTTTAATAATATAGTTAAAAATAATTTAAATTATGAATTCAACAACTCCTAAATCAAGTGGAATCAATTATGCAAGTATAATTTTAATTATAACCTGATGGTAGAATTAAGAAAGCAAAGATCAAATTAAGACACTTTACCAAAATCAATGTCAACTAATATAAAAATGGATATCAATCAAACCTAATAATTTGGAGGGATTAAGCATAGAAGTACTTCTTAACACAATATTCATGAAATGGCATAAATTTAATTGTTTGATTAATGTTTAGTGAAATAAGCAAATTAAAATGAGTTTCTGGTTTTCCTTGATCGTCAAATGTAATATTATAATTAAACAACACCTGTAATAAATGATTTATAACCTTAGCAAAATTTTTCATCTTTTAGAGTCAATAATAAAACAATTCAAGAAGAAAAGAAAAAACTTTAGATTGAACTCTAAAAATTTAATTAAGAAAATGCTTTTTTAATTAAAGAAATAAAAGACTTAAATAAAACTAAACAAATGCTCGTAAAGAGATATGATGCTTTATAAGGTTTAATATTAAAGGAACGATTAAACAACTAACCTAGAGTTCAATAATATAGCAATCCAAAATTTTAACATCTTTTTAATCAAATATCACCAGTTTAAGAGACTATATCTTCATTAACTGATGAAAGAGTAACAAAATTTATATTAATTTTATTTTAGTTTGAGAGTAATGCAACTTCACTTGATTCTTCTCTATCATATGAGGATGATCAATCATCTGCATCGTAATTACTAGATTTATTATAGAAAAATTCGAAGCATAGATTCAATTTTTAGAAGCAAATGGTATGATAATATTTAATTTTGTTTTTTTTTTAATTTTTAAAAATTGCTTATTTTTTTATTTATTATATAAAACTAAATATAAAAACAATATTTAGGAAACATAAATAAATCATTTATTTAATATACCAGATGCAATTTCTTTTAAAAATACTTTATTATCTGTTTCTTTTCTATCAGTTTCCCAATTTTTAAGTCTGCTTTTCATTTTTTTTAATTATTTTTTCATTTCTACTATTTTTGGTTCAAAATCTTAAGGAAATTTAAATTTTTCATCACTTTATTCTTAAATTAAATCTTTAATTTTTTTATTGTTATCTAAAAATTATTTAATATATTCTTTCTGAATAAGAGAAGGTAATTTAAAATTTAGAAAGTGTTAATGTTTAGAGGCAGTTTATTAAATTTATTTTCTCACTTAAATTAGTGAAGGAGATCTTGATTATTTTAATTTTTCTAATTTAGATATTGGATATAATTAGAAATTTTCAGAACTTTAATTTTTGACCATAGACTATTGAGGTGGAGATTAGAGAATTTGTTTTTTTTTATTTAAGATATTTTCATAAGCAGCTTTTCTATATTCTTCAAATTAAGGTTAAATAGATTAATCTTAAGAGAGTAATAAGCTTTATCTTTCAGTAGTTGCCTAAATAACTTTCATTCGTAATTCAGCATTAGATCTACTCCTTTACTTACCTAAATAAATAACATTGATTACTGATATGTCGATCATCTAAAGATAATTTTTTTTGTGGCAATTTCAACTTCATAGGATCATTTTATATCCATTTTTCATTTGAAGTTTCTTAAACTTACTAAATGTTTTATTTTTTAGGTGTTGAATATTTATCTGCTTAATATAACCTATTCATTCTGTCTCTTTCATTAATAAAAGGAATAAAAATAGAGTCCCCTTGCTTTGGTTCATATTAATTTTCTAGTAAAATATGTTATTTTCATAGTTGTACTATCATTTTCATGATTTTGAAGTGTCATTAATATGGGCATAGCACCAGGAACATTATTTGATAAAGGATTAGAAAGTGTACATTTGGCCCTTATTATTCCTATACTCATATTATAATTTATTAATATTTGTTTAATTTTACTAAGTTGAATATTGATTTCATAAACTTTATTGTATTATTGAATCAAAATTTCTATATCTATTATGTTTTAAGTTTTTTAGATTGAATTAAGGAATAGTTAAAAATAGATAATAATATATATTTAATTTGATTTATAATTCATTAATAAAAGTTCTCATACTTTTTTAATATCTCATCAAACTCTACATAATTAAATTCTATGCCTTAATATGCAAATCTATAATAATAATATAAACAATTAATACAACCTTTTGCAAATAACTCTGAATTGATCATCAGTTAATGGTAATTTATGAAAATCCATAATAGATCTAAATCTAGTAAAAGTGATTTTACCTGATTTAGTTTTATCCTAAAATATTACTTATAAATAATATACTTTATCTTAAAAGTGAGGTTTAAGCAAAATTCTATGTTTTCTAACAACTTCACCTAATCTTAACATAATTGCATGTAAAGCTTCTTCTTCCTCTTGAGTTAAAGCATCTCTTGGATCAAGAAAAGTTGGAATAACATGAACAGGTGGTTTCATTAATGGATCCTTATCTAATCCCTAATTATATTTTTTTATATATTAAATTACTGTTTTTGTAAATACAATTTCTACATCCTCTATAAACTTTGCATAATTAACTCTAATTGGATCTTCAGGAACAACATACATAGTTTCTAATAAATCTAAACTTTCTTAATCTAAATCTATTTTCATTTGACTAAGAACTCCTCTAAATTTATTAGTAGGCATCAATCCTTTTCTTAAAGGATCAAAATCTTTAAAATAATCACCTAATCTAAGTCTTTTCACTTTAACAGCTACTTTAATCTATTCTAATAACACAGAAGGTTATAACTAAATTAAATATATGATTATACTTTTTCTTTTTCTTTTGGTTTAACTCCAACATAAGCCTAAGATGCTCCAGATTCTGTTTGAATTTCCAATGGTGGTTAAGTGTCATTTATAAATTAAACATATCTGATATCTCCATCATCTTCTGCAGCATAGATCTTAACTACTGCTTAGAATTCTTCATCTGATAATATAAAATTAACAGTAGCTAATGTTTATCTAAATTATTTTGGAGACACTTTATTTCTACCTAATTTATCCCAATCTTAAAAGAATTATTTAATATCTAATCTAGTTGCCTTACAAAAATATTAAAATTTCTTTTTCACAACTTCAGCAACTTATCTATCTCTTTCAGTAATTGAAACTCTACCATAATTATATTATGTAGACATTTATGGTACATTTTCTGATGGACTTACTTTTTCCAAATTTTTTGTAGTAAATACTTAATCAACTTAATCAGTAAATTCTTTCCATAAAACAAATCCTTATTTATCCTTACATCCAAAATTATTAAGAATTAATTAAAATTCTGCATCAGACAAAAGTATTTTTGCCATACTTAATCCTTTTCTTAATTATGTTACTGTTATTGTTCCACTTCTTAATTTATCAAAATCTCTTAAGAATTCTGCAATTCTCTATCTTTATTCTTTGACTATTCTTCTCAATTTTGCCATTAAATCTTCAAAATCATTAGGTTAATCATTTCTAATAAATGCTTAAGTCTAATTATCTGATTTAACATAATTTTTAAATGCATCTGCATGTGATCTACTTATAGCTACTCCTTCATCTGATTAATCTACAATTCTACAAAAATCATAGTAATTAACTTCATTTAAATTTGCTTTATCTACAAATCTCTTTAATAATAGATTTAATGAAACTGGATCTGGAAATAAATTAAATTAATTAAGAATTCTTAAAAATTGATTAGTTGTAATGTAACCTTATTTAGTTTTATCAAAATCTTCAAATACTGGTTTTAATAAAACTCTCTTATTTTAAATAGCTTATTTATATTTCATAAGTAATTCATCTAATTAAATTGCCTCCTATTCTGTCATCTATAAATATCTTCTTCTTGCAGGTAAAGTAGTTGAATCATCTATTTAAGGAACTAAAGCTTATGGTTCTTTATCAATTCCTTTTATTGTAAATATTTTATCAACATCTTCACAAAATTAATTATAATCCACTTAACCATTTGGAATCTTATCAACCTTATATTGATTCAATAAAATTGATATTTCTTTTTCAGATACAGGAATATTTTATATATGCAATATTCTAGCAAACTAAGTTAATATAAATATATATATGTAATACCTATGATTCAGTCACTAATCCTTTTCTTAAAGGATCAAAATCTTTAAAAAATTCTCTTATTCTAATTCTTTTCATAACAACATCTCCTTAGATCTTTTTCAATACTTAATGTAATGTATTAATATTATCAGTCAATTTTTTTGATGTGAATAAAGTAGAAATCAAATCTAATCCCTCTTTGTCTTCAATAAAATCATCATCTGGATGAATCTATATAATTATTTTTCTTATAGTATACATCTTTTGGATTCTATTTAATTCCTGTTATAACTCCACTTAACATTTCTTATACATTGTCAACATCATCACAAAATTTTACATAATTAACTTCCTTAGGATTTCCATTATCAATATATTATCTTATAAGTAATTATAAATATTAGTCTTTTGGTAATAATCCTAATTAATTTAAGACTCTTGAAAATTAATCAATAGTAATATGAGAACATGCAGTTCTATCAAAATCTTAAAATGGCTATTTTAAGAATATTCTTTTTGTTGCTATCTTTCTTTTTATAGCCTACATCAATCTTTTTACAGTGTCCTCTTCATCTTAATTGAAAATCTAAATATAACAAATTTCAATACTTATGGAGCTTAAAATACTTAAGCCTTTGCTTCATTATTTAGAAATTACTCTTCAAGTTTGTTACAAAATGTTGTATATTGTACTAGACCATCATTTAGTTTATATCTTCTAATGATTTCCTCAATATCCTCCTTTGTAAAATGAAAATTTATCATAGATAATGCAGATCGAAACTAAAGATGAATCATACAATAATACCTTGTCTTCTGTCACCCAACCCTTTCTTAATCGATCAAAATCAGTGAAGAATTCTCTGACTCTTATTTACTTTTTATACACATCTTATTGTAATCTTGTCTCTATATCTTGTTACACATATGTTCCAACTAAACCTTTGAATAAGATAAATTTACTTATAGATTGTCCTGCAGAAACTAAAGCTGTAGCCATCCTTCAGTTATCTTTTTTTTTGAGTATATATATTATTTAATTTATAGTCTTTCAAAACATCATAATAATTATAATTTCTCATTTTCAAAATTAGAACTGCAATCTTTCTATACAATAAATATTATTAGACATAAATACCTTTAAATTATTTGCAAATTAATATTATTAAAAATAACTAAACATTTAGTTTAATATATGCTACATTAAAGAACTATCTAAAACAAGAAAATATAATTTGTCAATTATGTAACACTTCCAATCTTGAGGTAAATACAATAATAAACCTTATAAAATGGAGAAAAAAAGATAGAAAAAGAAAAATGAACATATAAATTTTATGTGTTTGTAATTTAATATATTAAAATCTAAATTTCTTCATTCTATAAATAACCTCAATTTTATATATTAGTTTATTATTATTATATTTTATATTCTAACACTTTATTAAAAGATATGAATAAATAAAATTAAGAATTAAGTTGTGATAAAAAGTTTTTTAATAATATATGAAAAGATTAAGAACTCTTTATTCTAATTCTATTATTATTTCTATTAAATTTCAAATTTCTTGTGATATTTATCAACTTAATACAAAAAACCAAAATGTTTATAAAGAATATAATAAAATTGTTATTCATCAATTGATTAAATAAGATTGATTATAAAAATTAAATAAATAGTATATAAGTTTATTATTTAAAATTTAGATTATCAACTCAATTCTTTTATTTAATTTTGTATATTTAATCTCTATATACGATCTATTCAATTAATTAAAGAATTAGTATTCATATAAATATGTTAGAATTTAATCAATAAAATAATATTTAATATAATTCATAAGCTTTAATTAATAAGAAAACCTGAATTCTAATAAAACTTTATGATGGATGTTTATATAATTCACCCAATTATAATTATATTTATAAAAATTATTTTGTAATTAAATAATTAGAAATTGTAATTAATTAGTAAGATCTGAATTTTAAATAAATTATTTTATTTAAGTCATTTCTAATAAGGTTAAGTGAATGTTTGAAAAGCATAATTTGATTATGCAAAAGCTGTTAGTTAATTCTTGATTTATTCACACCAAAAAGAAAGCATCATAAAATTATTATTATTCTCATTTTCTTAAATTTCTTGTTATTCATTCTCCTCTTTCTGACTTTTAATTGATTTCTCAATACAGTTTTCTGTTTTTTGGCAATAAAGATAAGTTGACATTTAGGGTTGAACAGGGTTTAAGACAATATCATATATACGGATTATTTTTTTAAGTTTTCTTACTCTACTCTCCTTTTTACCTACTCTTCCTTCTCTCATATATGTATTAATAATGGACTTACAAGTAGATTGTAATATATTATGTTCTTAGGCAACCTATTATGATAGAGAAAGTAGAATTACATCTGCTATTGATTTCTTTTCATTTAAGATCTAATGAATGATTTGTTCTCTTAGTTCATTATTTATCTTGCTGTATTGTTTTTTGAGGTCTTCCATTAATGAATTATATTTTTATTATATGATGACAAAAATTTTGTTTAGAACTTAATTATTTCATAATCCTTAAATTAAAATCTGATCATTATTTGTTCTGATGTTATCTCATACTTTTAATTTTTCGAACAATTATCTTCATTTGTTGTTTTTCAAACCATCCATACTTTTCGAAATCTTTTGAATTTGGTGGATTTTATTTTCCTTTATTAATTACCTCATTAATTATATTATCTATATCCTTATCTTATAAATCACAAAGTTATAATAAGGTAAAACATTTTTATGGATAATCTTAATCTTCACTATTTGATTCTTCATTTTAATTATTCTTTATATTTATTGTTTAATATTATGCTGCTGTTGGATTCAATTAAGGATTAAATTATTTTAATACATAACATTTAGCCCATGGTCCATTATAATAATAATAAACCATTTAACCTAATTTTTCTTCATATTACTAAAATTATTTTAATTCTTTAATTAATTATTTCTTTAACCATATTGGTTTTCTTTAAAATAATTAATTTAAGATTGGATCAATATCTTAATTATTTTCATTTATATTAGAATGAGCTTCTCCAAATTTTAATGGTGTAATAAAATTTTTCTTTTCAACTTTATTTCTCTTTACATACTTTTTCATTAAATTAATTTTAAAATTAGAACCTCTCCAACAAAATGGTTTAGCTATGTCTCTTGGAACATGTTATTTTTATAATTGATAAGGTTTACATTATATATATTCTATTTAGTTAATTAATAATAATAACTATTACTTTTAAATTAATCTAATATGTTTTAATCATTTTCACCTTCAAAATAAAAGTCTTAAAAATAATATTAAGAATCATAAGTATCATTAATTTCACTTTCATATTCTAATTTATAAACTACAATATTTGGATCACTCTTATGTTAAAATTTTCTCATTCTAAATATGATATTAGTTTGATTCATTTTTTTTAAAATAAACTTTCCCTTTTCAGAATTTATCACTTATAAATCAAGTGGTTTTGTTTTATTATTTGGGAATTAAAAAGTTTATAAATCCACTTATTTGATTTCAGAATTAAAGTGAAAAGGTAAAGTTAAGTGTGAATATTCATTCATTTTTTTTTTTACAATAATATAATAAATAAAATAAATTTTAAAATATTCAATTCTGATAATCACATTAGATATGTTTATTATTATTCATTTTCATAAAAAATCTTTTATATTCAAATAAAATAAAATCTAAATAAGTATATCAAGTTCTATTATTAATATATTATTTATATCATCTAATAAAATTGTTTCATTTAATTAAGAATTGTAGATAAATGTGGAATATTATAAAAGTATCTGATTTAATTAGTTTAAGTTTAAGTTTATAAACTATTTATCTATATTAAATTTTTAAAATAAATAATACAGAATGTCATATAGTTATCTATTCAAATTCATTCTTATTGGTGATACAGGTATTGTAAATCAAATAATTGTTTAGGAGTTGGAAAATCTTGTCTTTTATTGTAGTTTATCGATAAAAGATTTAGATAAAAACATGAGGTCACTATTGGTGTAGAATTTGGAGCAAAACTAATTGAATTAGATGGATTAAATATAAAATTATAGATATGGGACACTGTATTCTTATTAAGTTATAATAGGCTGGACAAGAATCTTTTAGATCAATAACTAGATCATATTATAGATCTGCTGCAGGTGCTATTGTAGTTTATGATATTACAAAAAGAGAGAGTTATGAAAATGTGGCTAGATGGATGGAAGAAGTAAAATAAAATGGAAATCCAAAATTATCTATGCTCTTGGTTGGTAATAAAGGTGATTTAGAATCAGAGTAAATATAGTATTTAATATGAAGACGATAAATTTCATATAATGAAGCATAATAATTTGCAAAAGAATGTGGAATTGACTTTTTTGAAACTAGTGCTAAAACATCAAATAATGTGGAAGAGATATTTACTAAGATGGCTTAAATAATATTAGAAAAAATCAATCTAGGATAAATTGATCCAAAAAATGAAAATTTTGGAATTAAATTAGGTAGTGAATAAGTGAATTATTCTCATGGAAATTAAAATATTACTAATTTGGAGTAACAATAAGAGTATTAACCTTATGAAGAAAAGAAGAAATCTAATATGTGTTGTTGAAAAATTGAAATTATCAAAATATTACATTGATTTAGAAGTTGATTTATATATATCTCTTATGAATTCTAATTTATCGATTTAAAGAAAACCTTTAAAGATAAAGAAAAAAAATCTATAATCAATTAAAATATTGACTTAATATAATTATATTTATATAGTCATATTTTTAATGATTGTATATAATTATAAAGTTTATAATTATGAATAAAGATGATAAAAGTTTCAAATAAGAAAAATTTGATATCTCTGAATCTCAAGTTGCTCCATTAGATATAATATAAATAATTCAATAAAAGTATGCCAGAAGAGTTAATTAATGTAATGATTGTAATAATAAACATAATATTAGAGATAATTATAAATGAAATACCTGAATCATCCAAAAATATTGATTCTACATTATAAAAATAAGATAGTTAATAATAACTTATATTTTAAAAAGACATATATGCAAGAGGTTAAATTATATTTAAATTTATTTAGATTCATTTAAGAGTGTAGGTTGTATTTGTAGAATATGTGAATTTTCAGAATATAAAGATAATCCTCTTATTCGTGTATGTAAATGTATTAGATCTTAAAAATATGTGCATGAATATTGTTTGAAAAAATAAATTATCAAAAAATATAGAACTAATCTTCATTAAGCTAAATGTGAAATTTGTTAAGATACTTATTAAATGGAACTAAAAATTGAAAAAATATTTGCTCCTGTAATAAGATATTTTATTTTTTTAGAAAACAGCATGGTCTCAAAGTAAGGATAAATTACCTTTATTTTGTTTATTAGTCTTTTTGATTGTTATGATAGTCGTTGTAATCTTACTTGGAACTCGATTGTATGAACTTTATTGTAATTTAGAACAGAGGCTAATTAAATTACTGATAGGAAAAACTTTCTAGATTCTTAATCTTTCTTAATAATATTTGTTATCTTTGCAGTTATTATTATACTAATATTATTATGGTTAATTGCAATGATTGTTAAAGGGTTGTTAATAGTAGAAAGAATTTTATTTTGGAAATTATAAGAATTCAAACCAGTGAAGAAATCTATACTTAATAAAAATATATTAATTTCAGAACTCAGATAATCATTTCGAAAATCTAAATTATTTGGTGAATAAGAAACATAGTAAAATAGAACAAATAAACATTAAAACACATTTAATATATAAAAAATTAATCATAATTAAGATGATTAATTTATTGATGTTGGTGAAATATCTACATAAAGAAATTAACCTAAATAAGTTACCAGTAATGTACTTACTATTTAAACTGATCCTCGATAAACTAAAAGATCAAGATTTTCAATTATTTGATTATTTATTTAATCTTAATAGATTATTGTATTATTTAAATAATGATTTCATACTAACATTTTTATTCAAAAAATTAATCAATATAAATTTATATTAAATTTTTATGAAAAAAAATTATATTAAATAAATCTAATTTCGAATATTTATAATCTATTATTTTTATTAATTTAAATATAATATATATATATGTTATTATTAGCAAAGCATGTATATACTATCTAATTAAATTGTTTAAGTATAGATTAATTGAGATTGTTCATTAGTATATTTTAATTAATTAAAAAATGGGGAATAATTATTTAAAGATTATAGTTTATATTGATTTTTAACTAAGTTGGAAATTTATTAACAAGACGGTTTATCTAAAAATTAGGGTAGTTTTTAAGAAAATGAGTTATAATTCAATTCTTTAAAAGTATATACTTATTTTTGTTTGTCTTCTCGTTAATAATTAACAGATTATTTAAATATATTTATTTAAATATGAGCATTCGACAAAGTCTCATTCAATAATTTATGCATACTTTATCTAGTTAGAGTCCATAATAGACTATAAGTTTATTGGCTTTAATAGGAATTGAAAGTGTACTTTAAGAGAATGACAACAAATTAGTCAGAGAACAAATCACTCTTATTAGACGACAAATAGAAAATATTTAGACAAAGGATGAAGAACATACTATAAAAGTAGTAAAATCAAAAGAAAGAGCATTAACTCCAAAGATTACAGAATCTTAAGCTCCAACTCCATTAAGTCACTAAAGAAATACTGTGTCTAGACATCATTTAGATGATCAAGCAATGAGGATGGCACTTAGTTAATAATATGAGGATACAGAATAATTGAGATCTCCAAAATCAGAAATTTCTAATATGAAAACACCTAAATAATCAATTCAATATTTTATAGAGATGAAGAGTTAGAAACCAAAAAGGGGACCAGAAAACAAATTAAAGGAATTATAAAATAATTTAACTAGAGAATTGATAGCTGATTATTAGGGTGTGTTAGAGGAAATTAAACATAACCCAACAAAATATATGGATACTCCAGAAAGTAGTATTTAGGAATAATAAATAAAGGATTATATAAAGATGTAATAGTAGGTACAATAATAGTAACAAAAAGTAGAAATTGAAAGACAATAATAATAATAATAATAATAATAATAAAAATAATAATCTTAAGAGTTTAATTAATCTTAGAAAGATTTATTAAATTTGAGAAGGAGAACTGAAACTCAACCAGATTAGAAATTAGAAAGATCTTGGTAAGTTTAAGAAAAAAAGAATAATTAGGTTATGATAAATTATAAATCAGAACCAAATTAAATTTAAATGGGAACAAAGAAAATTTAATCAACTCCATAATAAAAAAAAGATTAAAGATCTCCAAATAGATATGAATAATAATTGTAAACAGAAAATACTTTTTCTTTCTTTTAAAGATAAAAGACTTAAGGAAATTAAATTAATACTTAATAATCTATTAATTATGATAAACATAGTGGAGGTTTAAAGTAGATGGCTGATAAATTAATAAATTCACCTATTATATAATAAGTGTCTATGAAATCAGCTGAAAATGTTTCATCAGCAGGTAAAGAAGTTTAAGTTTCATAATTTGAAGAATAAGGTATTATATATATATTATATATAAATATAGATTCAATGAGTTCAAATTCTAGTGCATTTTCACTATTTTAACCAAATGAAGAATTAAAATCATTTTTTAGAAAAGAATTGATTAAAGAGGAGAATGATGAAAGTAAGTATTATTGTATATTTTATATAGATCATGATCCTAATTGTGTGAAATATTCTAATATATTTTTAAAAGGAAGAATGGGAGGATCAAAAGTGTTTTGAATTAATTAAGTATATAATGCAATTTTGAATTACTTTTTACTTAATATTAATAATTAAATGGCAGATTATTATACATATCAAAGGAAAAGAAGAGATTTAGGAAAGCCTTGCAATTTTTAAGATAGTGAAATAAAAATAGCAGGTTATACTAAGACAGTTGCTGTTATTCCAAACTATGTTAAAAGAAATCCAAATCATATTGATTTAGATAACATTGCTGAATATTCAGAGCATTCTGTATCTATTTGATTTATAAAAACATAGGTTAATACAGAGAGAGTATCAACAGGAGACAAAGTAATGTATCATAAAGAAGGAGGGGTATTATAATTTATGCAACAGTTTTTAGTGGCCTGCAGGTATAGACCCAATGGAGTAGCAAGATCAAAATAAATACAGAAGAAGATTCGAGAAAGATGCTGCATTTGCAGTTGCTGTTAAAGAGTTAAGTACAACAGTGGAGAAATGCATACTTTAAAATAATTAAATAGATTTATTTGAAGAGTATTTCTTAGATGAAGAAAGTGAACATTAAGTTGAAAATCTCAGTACTAAGACTTTGATGTTATTCAAGTATTACTTAATGTAATAGTAGGGATTAATCAGAAGGAGTTAAAAGATCTGTATCAGAAATATCTTGGCATCCAGAAGGACCAATTAAAGCAGCAGTATCTTATGCAATAAGCAGATTTTAACAAATGCCAGAAGGAATGTTAAAATCTTCATTTGTTTGGGATTTATAAAATCCTAATAA